CACTTGTTTTCCTGGCCTTGCTTACAATGAATGTCAATTTACTTTGCTTATCTTACAAATTTACTCTTCTATGAGTGTACCATAACAGCTACTGCAAAAGGCTGCTACCCTGAAAGTGGTGAAATGTATCAAATAACTTTAGAAAAACTGTCATTAATTCTTACCTCAACTTAGCTCACTGTATGATTCAGATGATTATATTATCGACAATACAGCTAATCAAATGAATTGTCTTGGTTAGCATTCAAATGCTATCTTAGATATGAGACTAAGCAGCCTACAGAGTTATAAGAGTAAACGTCAGTAAGAATTGAAGGATAATCCCAAAATTGAGGACACAGCTCAAAATTTGTTTTCGCTGATACTTTTTACATTGATAGAGTTTTGTATCGTAGTTAACAAAAGGGGTTAATTTGGTCTAATTTTTCATTTATAAGGAGTGCACTCTTTCTTTTTTCTAAGAATTTTGTTTTTCTGGCCCAGGGTGAATATTCTTATTTTTCTCCCAATTTTGGGCTCAAAATATTCTTGTATTACTCTTAAATTAAAGCGTATGTCATTTTCGGTTTAGATGTGAGACTAAGGGCAGTCTACAGAGTTATAACAGCTAATATATAATTCTTCCTTATTTTATGAGGATCTGTCAAAGCAAAAGAACAAGAGAAAGAAAGAAAGAAAGTGGAAGAGGAAGATTGTGCAACACTGAGCAAGAACATCATGGATAAAACATCAGCAACACTGAAGCGAAGTAAGTTTACAAGTCTTTCGCTAAGAAAAAAGACCGGAAGAAGCTTAGACAATAAAATGTACATCAAAAGGAGAGGGTTTTTTTCCTGCCCCTGTTGAAGGAGAAGGACCGTGGAGAAGAGAGGTCATTGGAGAGGAGTGCTTAAGGGGGGATGGCAGTTGAATTTTGGGGGAATTAGGGTTGAATTGAGTATTAAAGAAAGAAGGATAAAAGAGGGTATACGCGTAAACCAGGAAAAGAAGAACTGATTTTTTTGTGGAAATTTGATGGAGTGTATCTAGTCGTTGAAACGTATTTTGTGTCAGCTGGTGACACTTTAACTGTTTTACACAATAAATCAGGGAACAGCAAAACATAGGGATACCACTCTAATTCTGGTACTTTTCCAATGGGGCTTTTTTCAAATTGAAAACTCATACCGGAGTTTTAATAACCATAAAATACCACTGTCATTGAGATTCTTTCCAAAGTGAACACTTATTCTACTTTTTAGTTACTTTTTATATCTACAGTTTATTTATTTATTTATTTATTTTATTTATTTAGTCACTCACAAAACCTTAAACAACATGAACAAAAGTTGTTAATTAAATTATAAAAATAATGTGACAAGGAAGCCTAACGAAGCTTGAAGCTTATATTAATAGGCTTCCTTCAACTACCTAATGAACTAAATTCATGGCTGAGTGCAGAGTGAGCAAGATCAGAAAATTAAGCTATCAGTGAGATAATTCTTTAAATTTTTTTAAAAACAATATAGAAGGAGAGCTAATTAGTGAAATAGGCAACAAATTCCAGACTGCGCCAAACCAACATACCGCTGGACAGGAATCTGCCCCCAATGCTCACAAACAATGGTAAACGCTACAAATGCAAACATAGTCACACAACAATGCTACAGACACCAACACGCCACCAAAGAATGCCAAAAACACCCGAGACCATAGCTCCTAGTCGTTAACTACATTAAGTATGATTTAATAGTATTTAATGCCTGCGTCGCAAGTGGAGGTTGGGTGCCCATGGGCCACGGGGCTGTAACCGCAATACACCCCAAGGCGGAAGAACACCAACAGGCCTACCAACCCACAACCCAGCCACGAGCACCCCCACGCCAAGCCGAAGGGACCTCTGGGTAGGAAACCCGAAGCAAGGGGGCTCGGGGCTGCAGAGCCACAGGCCCCGAGGGCCCAAATCTGAGGCACCCACCCCCATAGCAGCCCCAAAGGTAGTAGAGGTACCTGCTATGCAGCCCGCTGTCTGGATACATGGACGATGGAGCTATCTGGAGTGTGAATATAAATCTGGTAGGCATCACTAGACCACCGGCCCAGGGTCTTGATCAGATGATCCGGAACTCCCCGAGCAGCAGATGTAGTTGCCGCCCCAATACGGAAGCTATGGCCTGAATAGGAGCCAGTATAGCCAGCTGGGTGCAAGATAGACTGAACTGTGGATGACAACTGTTGCCGAGTAAGAGGGCGACCGTCACTAAAAGTAAAGAGAGGACCCTCAGAAGAGCCACGCAGAGCCAAAAAGTTGTCCAAGGCACAGATGGGACACACTGAGCCCTCACCATGCCCCACATATATATCACAGCCCATGCGAAACAGATCAGTCTTACAGCACTTGATATGAACTTTAAAACAGGTAGGATTTACCAGGGAATCAGCTTGCAGGTCAGCAACAGTCATGTGGATACTAGGCTGAAATGCAGAATTCACAGTGAACTCCCCAGCTCGTAAGAAAATGAAGAAACCCAAACAGCATGCCGCCCACAGCATCACATGGTCTCTCCTGGAGAATTCCAGTCCATGTTGAATCGCCCGCAGATGATCCAGGGTGATAGGCAGGCACCAGACTGATACTGGACCTTGAACCCGCTTAATTCCCCTGTACAAACGCTGCAAGCGAAGGCAGTTGACGAAAGGGTCTGACAAGCCATGGTCAATGTGAAGGGAACGTGGGTCAAGTTGTCGGCCAAGAGTGAAGCAAAACGCATGAGAGTTTCCTCATCGGCAGGAGGGAAGGAGCCATTGCTGTTAAGGCGACCATCCCGGCGGCAAAAGTCAATATAGCGATGTTGAGCAGAGATAAACACGCTGAGTGGAAGGTGCGAGTCCCTAGGAGAGCAGAAACTGACACCTCTGGGTCAACACATCTGGAGTGTGGCCAGAAGCGACTCGGGAATCACATAGGGAGTCAGGTCGGCTTGAGGTGCCAGACGACAAAAACGCTGAAATTGGAAGCGTGAGAGGGAGTCAGCTACTGGATTGGCCAAGCCACGAACTGAAGACACAGTAAACTTAAATGAGTGGCGTATAGCCAGCAAGGATAAATGACGCAGCAACCCCATCAAGTGGTGGTCCCGTGAAGTGCCAGACTTAAGTACAGCCACCACTGATTCATTGTCGCACAGGAACTCGACCCGCCGGGAGACCCACTGAGAACCCCATAAGGCGGCAGCTACAACGATGGGGAAGAGCTCCTTGTACGCGATCGATAATGACCGTTGCTCCATAGACCAAGCGCCGCAAAACCACTTGGTGTTAAAAATAGCCCCGTAGCCCAGTGAGCCTGCAGCATCCGATGAGCCTTGGAAGTCCAGGATGGGCGCCCACATGGGCATGCAAAAGAAACTGAGGCCGTCCCAGGTTTGAAAGAGCTCCCGCCACCAGGTAAGGTCCCGACGGAATTCTTGGTTTAGCCTGATGGGGTGATCATCCAGGCGGAAGGCACAAAGCAAGTCAATCATCCGACAAAGAAAAGTCCTCCCTTATGGGGAAACCTTGCAGGCGTGATGGAGGTGGCCAATCAAGGATTCCAACTCCCGCCTCTTACAGAAATGCTTGGTGGACCACTCTTCAAGTAAGGCAACAATCCGGTCTCTTTTTGCAGTGGGCAGGCAAGCCTGAAGCCTATCGGAGTCAAGTTCAATCCCGAGGATAGTTAAGCAAGTAGTCTGTTCCTCTACCTTGTCAGGATGAAGGGGGAGGCCAAGCCTTTCGCAAAGGCGAACATAGGTAAGTAAAGGCAGAGTGGGGATGACGGTGGACCAAGGGTAAAAAAGTCATCCAGCTAGTGGCGTAGGAAGTCCATGCCATAATTATGAACCAAGATCCATTCAACGAGGTCCGCAACAGAAGTGAATGCCATCGTTCACGCTGTCCCCAACAGGAGAGGAGAGGTCAAGGATGAGACGCCATTTGCCTTGTTGATTGTTCTTGGGAATGACCCCAAAATGGCTGATATGTAGAGAAGGAAAAGGAGGGGCTGAAAAGGGGCCAGCGACCCCGCCGGAGGAAACTTCGCTCTGCAAGTAGGAGTCTATCACAAAAGGGAAGGAGGAACGCATGTTCGAAGAAGCAGACTTAAGATTGACCATGGACGACTCAAAGCCAATACAAAAAACCTCGCGTAATCCAGACAACACATAAGCCACTGCTGCCTGGTCTGGATGATGCTGCAGTTCAGTCTGACATTGATCCAGCCGTAATGGAGAGACCTGGGAGGCCGGGGCTAGTGGCGAGAAAGAATGAATGGGTATACTAACTGGAACTGTAACAGAACAAGACAACTTGACCGAGGAACACAGATCATGCTGCCTCCCTGACGACGCAACAAAACTATTTACACTATGTACACGAGCCTCACCGGGCATAACTGCCTATCCAGTACCGTCCCCCTCTTCCCCTGGGTTAAGGAGATTGGGATCGTGCGCCAGAGAAGTTGGGAAATTGACAATTGGTCTGGGTGTGTTCACCCTCACAGTTACTGCAGCGGTGTCGATATTTACACTTACTAAAGGGCCAGCGGCACTGCCCATCATTCCATGAATGGCAAAAAGGAGGGGCCAAGCTGGTGTCACGGGAGGCGGCAGGAAGTGGAGCTGATGCCGTGGAAGAAGACGACCGAGGTAGCGGGGGTGAGGCCATGGCTGGAGACCTTAAGTGAAAGTTGTATAGGTCTAAGTTCATCCTTGACCAGTCACTGAGGCCAGAGGCAGCCGCATCCTTTCTGAACACCAGGTCATACTCTAACCAGGCTGAACTAGAGAAATGACGAGCCGTTTGAATGATAAGCAGCTTATACTTGGACAGATCGGGCCAACAATTAGGGTGAGCTGCGCACAGCACCATCTGAAAAATAGTAAAGGCTTCCGTCCAAGTCAAAATGTCTTTTATTTCCACTTGCCTGCATTTTGACGAGGACACCATGAGCTTACAATCGAGGAACGTTTGCGGCTCCTGCTTCACGGCGCGAAGGTTGACAGACAACAAATAAAACAACCAACGATAAAAGCCTTCTCAGACTTGGGTGATGCCAACGAAGACTCGAGGCTTGGAAGACCGCTAGTAACGCCAGGCGATACAAAAGTGGAGAGAGTAGGAGCCACGGGGCGGGCCGAGCTCGAGACGGTAATGGCCGACACTGGCGTAAACGTAGGAACAAATGCGGGAATGGTAAATGTACCTGAAGCCACCGAAGAAACACCGTCACTTGTACTTGCACTCGAAGTGGATGCTGAAGAAAGTAAAGGTTGTGGAGCCCCGCTAGCAGAAACGCCTGGAACCGAAGAAGCCTGCGAGGAGGTGTTTCTCTGGATCGATGAAATTATGGTGGGAATGGAGTTTCCGATTGCCCGAACCACAGCCTCAGTGAGGGAGTCAGCCAACTGAGGTGACCAAGAACTAGAAGACGTACCCGACACTGAATCTTCAGACATTGCCGTAGATGGAACGGAGTCTTCGGTTGGAAGGCCCGCCGATAAGCTGTTGTTGGTCGAGGGAGGTGGACGCGGCATTACAGAGGACAACCAAAAACTCTCCAGCATAGGACGAACCACAACAGGAACAATGAGGAACAACGGTAACGAAAACCACTTCGACCAGAAAAAACTTTGACAGAACCAAGAGAAACGCTACTGCCACGCCATGCCACGCCACGCTAACAAAGCTTTGAGAACAACGCAAACACAGCATAGGCACATGGCCTCCGCATGCGCCAAAACGCATACCACTGGACAGGAATCTACCCCCCATGCTCACAAACAATGGTAGATGCTACAAATGCAAACATAGCCATGCAACAATGCTACAAACGACCAACACGCCACCAAAGAATGCCAAAAACACCCGAGACCATAGCTCCTAGTCGTTAACTACATTAAATATGATTTAATAGTATTTTTATCTGAATAACTTCTCATATTGAGTCTTCTCATTCTCTTAAATGGTTGACTGCACTAATTTCTTTTTTTTAAAAAGTTGTTTTTTTGGCCCATTATGAATATTCTCATTGTTCTCCCAATTTTAGGCTCAAAATATTCTTCTATTACTCTTAAATTAAAGCTTAGGTCATTCCCGTTTAAGTATGTATTGGGGTATCAATGTACTGTTCATCGAACTGTTATTGGCTTTTACTTTCACTCGAAAACGTCATGTTTAATATTCAACAGTTGCTATTACAATATTTTGCGCTGTTTGCTTTGAGGCAGTTGGGTGTGGACTTGATGACGTTTAAAACAATCGATTAAAATGAGCAGACGTCTCAGGAATTGGACTTCCGTGTAATTACAACCTAAAAAAACTGTAGTGAAATTTGACATATCCTGGCAGACGCCCTAAGATCCCTCTCTGTCCCATAATGGCTCTTGGGTTAACTGGTGGTTCAAGTTGAAAATTTCAAATTTGACCTTTGCTTGTTTTCCGTCAAAAGAGTGCAAAATAGACCTAGAAATATTGTTTGCTGATGTTCCAGATAAAAACCAGACGAATGTCCATAATTATTACAGAATTGCCATAGTAGTGATTTTCTGAACACGTTACCCCTGGTTTACATTGAAAAATTTTAATGTGATCTTTATTTGTTTTCGTTCAAAATAGACCAAGAAATATTGTTTGCTGATGTTCTCGATAGAAAGAAACGTTTTCCGGACTAAAAAATGTGCATTTTACACAGATACCATACTAGGGATTTTTCCGAAGGGGTTAACCCATGGTTTAAGTTGAAAAATGAAATTTGATCTTTCTGTACTTTTGGTCAAAATAGACCTAGTAATATTGTTTTCTGATGTTCTTGATAGAAACAACGGCTTTCCAGACTAAGAAGAATGTCCATTTTACAGAGTCGTCATAGTAGTGATTTTTCCAAAGGGGTTAATCCATGGTTTAAGTTGAAAATTTAAAATTTCATCTTTCCTTGTTTTTCATCAAAATAGACCCAGAAATATTGTTTGCTGATGTTCTAGATAGAAAGAAAGGTTTTCCAGACTAAAAAATGTCCAGTTTACACAGATACCATACTAGTGATTTTTCCAAAGGGGTTAACCCATGGTTTAAGTTGAAAAATGAAATTTGATTTTTCTGTGCTTTTGGTCAAAATAGACCTAGAAATATTGTTTTCTGATGTTCTGGATAGAAACAAAGGCTTTACAGACTAAGAAGAATGTCCATTTTACAGAGTCATCATAGTAGTGATTTTTCCAAAGGGGTTAATACATGGTTTAAGTTGAACTATTAAAATTTGATCTTTCTTTGTTTTGGGTCTAAATAGTCCTAGAATTATTGTTTGCTGATGTTCTAGATGGAAAAAAGGGCTTTCCAGACTAAAAAAAGTCCGTTTTACACACATACCATAGTAGAGATTTTTCGAAAGGAGTTAACACATGGTTTAAGTTGTAAATTTAAAATTTGATCTTTCTTTGTTTTTTGTCCAAATAGACCTTAAAATATTTTCTGATGTTCTGGATAGAAAGAAAGGCTTTCCAGACTAAGAAGTCCATTTTACAGAGTCACCATATTATTGTTTAACCTTAGGTTTAAGTCAAAAAGTCGAAGTTTGATCTTTCTTTGTTTTTGGTCAAAATAGAGCTAGCAACATTGTTTAATGATGTTCTAGATAGAAGGAAAGGCTTTTCCAGACTCTAAAAATGTCTATTTTACAGAGTCGCCATATTAGTGATTTTTCCAAAGGGGTTAACCCATGGTTAAAGTTGAAAATTTGAAATCTGACTTTTCTTTGTTTTTGGTCAAAATACAGCCACAGATATTGTTTGCTGATGTTCTAGAGAGAAGACAAGCTTTCCAGACTATAAAAATGTCCATTTTACAGAGTCACCGTAGTAGTGATTTTTCTAAAGGGGTTAACCCATGGTTTAAGTTGAAAAATTGAAATTTGATCTTTGCTTGTTTTTGGAGAAAATGGACCTAGAAATACTGTTTTCTGATGTTCTACATAGAAAGAAAGGCTTTCCACCAGACTAAGAAGAATGTCCATTTTACAGAGTCGCCATATTAGTGATTTTTCCAAGGGGGTTAACCCTTGGTTAAGTTGAAAATTCAAAATTTGATCTTTCTTTGGTTTTGGTCAAAACAGGCCTAGAATTTTTGTTTGCTGATGTTCTAGGTAGAAACAAAGGTTTTCCAGACTAAAAATGTCCATTTTACACAGTCGCCATATTAGTAAGTTTTCCAAAGGGGTTAACCCATGGTTTAACCCATTCGCTCCTGGAGATTTTGCCGAAAAACGCGTTTTGAAGCTAGTCGAGTGGTTTTCTGGTCACTGTCGTGCTATAAAGAGCTAAAACTTACCACAAACCGGTCTACAGGTCGTACACTTGGCGGCCTTCTGATCCAGATGCAAAATATCAGCTTGCGAAGTTCGGGCATGCGCAGAAAGCAAAATTTCGACATAGTTTTTGGGTTTAAAAGTGACACAGCAGTCTTGACTTTTACTTTTCGCTTTCTCTCCTCCCTTCTTTTTTCGCTTTTCTTGCCTCATTTTTTTTTTCTCTTGCTGGGCATTTAGTAGGCTTCATTTTGGTGGGAAGAGTTTTTAGGAAAGCTTTTAGGATCTTAGGATTAGGTGAAAGGAAAGGTAGGTGGGTAATGGAACAAGATTTTCATGGAGATTTTCAGGTC